TAGTTCTGTTCTAGTTCTGTTCTAGTTCTGTTCTAGTTCTGTTCTAGTTCTGTTCTAGTTCTGTTCTAGTTCTGTTCTAGTTCTGTTCTAGTTCTGTTTAGTTCTGTTTAGTTCTGTTCTAGTTCTGTTCTAGTTCTGTTCTAGTTCTGTTCTAGTTCTGTTCTAGTTCTGTTCTAGTTCTGTTCTAGTTCTGTTCTAGTTCTGTTCTAGTTCTGTTCTAGTTCTGTTCTAGTTCTGTTCTAGTTCTGTTCTAGTTCTGTTCTAGTTCTGTTCTAGTTCTGTTTTAGTTCTGTTCTAGTTCTGTTCTAGTTCTGTTCTAGTTCTGTTCTAGTTCTGTTCTAGTTCTGTTCTAGTTCTGTTCTAGTTCTGTTCTAGTTCTGTTCTAGTTCTGTTCTAGTTCTGTTCTAGTTCTGTTCTAGTTCTGTTCTAGTTCTGTTCTAGTTCTGTTCTAGTTCTGTTCTAGTTCTGTTCTAGTTCTGTTCTAGTTCTTTCTAGTTCTGTTCTAGTTCTGTTCTAGTTCTGTTCTAGTTCTGTTCTAGTTCTGTTCTAGTTCTGTTCTAGTTCTGTTTTCTAGTTCTGTTCTAGTTAGTTCTAGTTCTGTTTTAGTTCTGTTTTAGTTCTGTTCTAGTTCTTTCTAGTTCTGTTCTAGTTCTGTTCTAGTTCTGTTCTAGTTCTAGTTTTCTAGTTATGTTCTAGTTCTGCTCTAGTTCTGTTCTAGTTCTGTTCTAGTTCTGTTCTAGTTCTGTTCTAGTTCTGTTCTAGTTCTGTTCTAGTTCTGTTCTAGTTCTGTTCTAGTTCTGTTCTAGTTCTAGTTTTGTTCTAAATCGATTCAACTTCTGCTCCAATTCTGTTCTAGTTTAGTTTTATTACTCTTCTATTTCAGGTCTCATTTATCAGTTAAATATTTTGTACATTTTAGCAAAAAAAATAATAAGGAAACTTAAATTAATTTCCGGTCTTAAACAAGGACATCTATTAAACAAATACATAGTAAATTCAAACTGCAATTTAATACTCTTACAAACAAGTCATATATCCTATTAAATATTCATTAAACTGTAATTATAGTTAAAATTTAGAGATTTTAATTCCAATTAGTATGTCTCAACTGGATTTAGGGGCATTAGAAAAGTTGATGCATAAATTAAAACGGAAACTTTAGAAATGTATTTATGAATATTTGCTTAAATCCTAAACTTACTTTAATGTTTATTAAATAAAAACAAAAATAATTTAATATTCATACAATACAATTTGAAATAAAGACAGAAAAAAAGCCGAAAATAAAATGTAATTTAGGCGATGCCCTACAGTAAGTGTTTAGCTTTTAACCTAATGTTGTAGTCTTTATTAATGTTATTTAGAAGAAGTGTAATTCAAATTCGTTGCCTACCCTTTGTAGCTTTTTCTTAATAATTTCCCATAAAAAGTGTTTAAGTTTTTATTTCAAATAAAGTCCCAATGGATGACCAACAAATCCAAAAGTTTCATGGCAAACTAAATAAATATTTTTGTCGAGAGAAATTTACTTAGCATACAACTCTAAGGTCAACATGTGCTGGTTTTTTTTGCTACATTCCAAGAACAATTTTAATTAAATTTATAAGAAATGTGTTACTAATTCTATTATGTACTTGTTTTGATAGTTTTTTTCTCTTCTTGTATTCTTTATTAAACATGTGTGCAATTCAAATCCTTTTGATAATAATTTAGTGCAACATGTCGTAGTATTGTTGCTGTTGAAAATAGACTAAGTCGGAACGTAAATAGACAATTTTGAGAAGAAATTGTTAAAATAAACGACAAAAAAAACAAAAAAGGGCTATACCATCGATTATTCGAATAATTTTAATCGATTAATCGGATCAATTTAATCGATTAATCGAAAAATGAATTTATGAATTTAAGCTCTGAGAAAATACAAAACAATATTATAAATATAAACATTTTATTCGATTAATCGGTTCATGTTATTCAGTTTTCTCATAAAACTTAACATTAACTTTATTCTAAAGATCTCTGTTTAAATTAACATTGAACAATGTGTCTCTACTAATGACAACTTAGCAGAGACCACTTGAAAAAACTAATGTTAAATCCCACATGTAGGTGGCGCATACAAGAAGTTCAAGTATTCCAAAGTACAGACCCAAACCATAATTTCAACTTTTACTTAACATTAGTCCGTGAATATTTTCAAAGTAAAACACACTCACACAAAAATTGTGTACAAACGGCCTTCTAGGGAAAGATACTCTGCATTGTAAGTACCCGATATTGACCGGGTTTGCTTATGTTTTGCTATTTAGTGCAATTAGATGTCGGATCGATTACTGACGTTCATTATTTTCCCATATAAAGATCGAATTAAGCTAAAAGCTACAATTGATCAGTGAGCCGATTTCAGAGTTCCCACATAAAAATCGATTTGTGATTTTGATTGATCAAAGAATTTTGATATTTTCTCAGTTGGGGCGTAATTTATAGAACCGCACCCGATATTACGGTTTTTCCTACAAAATCTTTTTTTGAAGTTCTAGTTTGTAGTCTGTTCTAGTTCTGTTCTAGTTCTGTTCTAGTTCTGTTCTAGTTGTTCTAGTTTCTAGTTCTGTTCTAGTTCTGTTCTAGTTCTGTTCTAGTTCTGTTCTAGTTCTTTCTAGTTCTGTTCTAGTTCTGTTCTAGTTCTGTTCTAGTTTCTGTTCTAGTTCTGTTCTAGTTCTGTTCTAGTTCTGTTCTAGTTCTGATCTAGTTCTGTTCTAGTTCTGTTCTAGTTCTGTTCTAGTTCTGTTCTAGTTCTGTTCTAGTTCTGTTCTAGTTCTGTTCTAGTTCTAGTTCTGTTCTAGTTCTGTTCTAGTTCTGTTCTAGTTCTGTTCTAGTTCTGTTCTAGTTCTGTTCTAGTTCTGTTGTAGTTCTGTTGTAGTTCTGTTCTAGTTCTGTTCTAGTTCTGTTCTAGTTTCTGTTCTAGTTCTATTCTAGTTCTGTTCTAGTTCTGTTGTAGTTCTGTTGTAGTTCTGTTCTAGTTCTGTTCTAGTTCTGTTCTAGTTCTGTTCTAGTTCTATTCTAGTTTTGTTCTAGTTCTGTTCTAGTTCTGTTCTAGTTCTGTTATAGTTTTGTTCTAGTTCTGTTCTAGTTCTGTTGTAGTTCTGTTCTAATTCTGTTCTAGTTCTGATCTAGTTCTGTTCTAGTTCTGTTCTAGTTCTGTTCTAGTTCTGTTCTAGTTCTGTTCTAGTTCTGTTCTAGTTCTGTTCTAGTTCTGTTCTAGTTCTGTTCTAGTTCTGTTCTAGTTCTGTTCTAGTTCTGCTCTAGTTCTGTTCTAATTCTGTTCTAGTTCTGTTCCACGTCTGTCCTAGCTCTGTTTTAGTTCTGTTCTTATTGGATATTGTAGTACTTTAGAAACTCTGGGAAATCCCTTAAAGTGGCTTCATTGTTGGTAGAATATACTGAAACAATAAAACAATAAATTTATTTATGGCATTAATTACCTAAAATGCATAAATTATTTTTAAAAAAGATAACGTATATAACTAATTGTTATTGTTTTTAGCAAACCTTGTTAACATGGCTTTTTAGCAAATTAATTATTTGTAATATTTTCCACTTCAATTACTTTTGAATAAGTGAAATCTTCCATTAATTATGACGTTAGTGGAAAGCTAGAAATCAAAGTAATTTACAAAATGAGTTAAGCAGTTTGGAATCTAAGAACTTAAGCACTTACCTTTTCATAAAATAAAATTATTTCTGAAATTTTTAAGTTTTTGTGTTTTATTTTTAAATTATATTTTATTTAAATAATTATTAATTTTATTTATAAATAAAATTTTAATTATTTTAATTAATAAATTTACAAATTATTTTGTTAAGTTAAACTTAAATAGGAGTTTGAAAAGTGTTCATTTTAGTTACAATTATATTTGTTTTTTTTTTTTTTTTTTTAATTTAAGGATGAAAATTGTATGTATTGCACATGTTTAACAATTGCTTATTAATTAATAATCATAAAAAGGTTCAACAATTATTTTATTATAATTATATATTTTTTTTAATAATATATACAATTTATTAAATAATTTTTTTATTTTATATTTTTTATATTTAGTTTTTCTAATAAACCACAAAAAAGGTATGAATGATTATCATAAGAATATTTTGTTTTTATAAGGATTTGTTAGATTTTGATTAGTTTTTATTGTTTTACATAAAAAATGGACGTGGTGCTTTTTTTGTTATTTTATAATAATTTTAATAATTTTTTTTTAAGTTATAATAATAGCAGGCATTTTGTAAAATAGTTTTTAAATAAAATTTCGAGTTTTGTATAAATTAATTATAAAATATTATGTATTTAAATAGGCAAAATTGGGTGTTTTTGTTGTTGTAATATCAAATAATTGTGCAATTTATTATAAACAAATATTCGAATAAGTTGTTTCCACAATAAATGGATATTTAAGGATATTTATTTTAGGATTAGTTAAGTTTTGGTTTCACTTAATTCGTAATTCTCTTAAAACTGTATGAGTAAAATGATTTAAACAGGTGTGTGTGTGTGTAAAAACAGGAAGAAAGAGAAAGAGAGTGAAAGTGAGCACTTTAGTTGTGTAGTTTTAAGAATTAAAAGCTCTATTTTTTCGATAACTGTTAAGCTCTACTGTATTTCGAAATCAAATTTTCGATTTCTTTTTTCAAACGTGAAACTTTTTTAAATAACAATTATGGCCGGTTATCCTTTAGATTAATTTTGAGTTCCACACTTTGCTTCTTGCTTTTAACTTTGTTGATTCCGATTTTTATTGGTCCTCTGACGTTCCTGTAAATACTCACATATTGAAGTGTATTTCTGTTGACGTGCCACTGGAGGGCTGTCAAACCATCGTGATTTGTTTGATTGATATCGGCTCCAGCTGCTATCAACTGCTTCACCACTGTCATGTGGCCAAACATGGCGGCGGCATGTAAGGCGGTTTCCCCATTCTAATGAAAAGCAACAAAAAATCATTAAAATAAATTCTAAACTAGAACAGAACTAGAACAGAAATAGAACACAACTAGAACAGAACTAGAACCGAACTAGAAACAGAACTAGAACAGAACTAGAACAGAACTAGACGAACTAGAACAGAACTAGAACAGAACTAGAATAGAACTAGAACAGAACTAGAACAGAACTAGAACAGAACTAGAACAGAACTAGAACAGAACTAGAACAGAACTAGAACAGAACTAGAACAGAACTAGAACAGAACTAGAACAGAACTAGAACAGAACTAGAACAGAACTAGAACAGAACTAGAACAGAACTAGAACAGAACTAGAACAGAACTAGAACAGAACAGAACTAGAACAGAACTAGAACAGAACTAGAACAGAACTAGAACAGAACTAGAACGAACTAGAACAGAACTAGAACAGAACTAGAACAGAACTAGAACAGAACTAGAACAGAACTAGAACAGAACTAGAACAGAACTAGAACAGAACTAGAACAGAACTAGAACAGAACTAGAACAGAACTAGAACAGAACTAGAACAGAACTAGAACAGAACTAGAACAGAACTAGAACAGAACTAGAACAGAACTAGAACAGAACTAGAACAGAACTAGAACAGAACTAGAACAGAACTAGAACAGAACTAGAACAGAACTAGAACAGAACTAGAACAGAACTAGAACAGAACTAGAACAGAACTAGAACAGAACTAGAACAGAACTAGAACAGAACTAGAACAGAACTAGAACAGAACTAGAACAGAACTAGAACAGAACTAGAACAGAACTAGAGCAGAACTAGAACAGAACTAGAACAGAACTAAAACAGAACTAGAACAGAACTAGACAGAACTAGAACAGAACTAGAACAGAACTAGAACAGAACTAGAACAGAACTAGAACAGAACTCGAACAGAACTAGAACAGAACTAGAACAGAACTAGAACTAGAACTAGAACAGAACTAGAACTAGAACAGAACTAGAACAGAACTAGAACAGAACTAGAACAGAACTAGAACAGAACTAGAACAGAACTAGAACAGAACTAGAACAGAACTAGAACAGAACTAGAACTGGAACAGAACGAACTAGAAAGGAACAGAACTGGAACAGAACTAGAACAGAACTAGAACAGAACTAGAACAGAACTAGAACAGAACTAGAACAGAACTAGAACAGAACTAGAACAGAACTAGAACAGAACTAGAACAGAACTAGAACAGAACTAGAACAGAACTAGAACAGAACTAGAACAGAACTAGAACTGAACTAGAACAGAACAAGAACAAAACTTGAACAGAACTAGAACAGAACTAGAACAGAACTAGAACTAACAGTACTAGAACAGAACTAGAACAGAACTAGAACAGAACTAGAACAGAACTAGAACAGAACTAGAACAAACTAGAACAGAACAGAACTAGAACAGAACTAGAACAGAACTAGAACAGAACTAGAACAGAACTAGAACAGAACTAGAACAGAACTTGAACAGAACTAGAACAGAACTAGAACAAAACTTGAACAGAACTAGAACAGAACTAGAACAGAACTAGAACAGAACTAGAACAGAACTTGAACAGAACTAGAACAGAACTAGAACAGAACTAGAACAGAACTAGAACAGAACTAGAACAGAACTAGAACAGAACTAGAACAGAACTAGAACAGAACTAGAACAGAACTAGAACAGAACTAGAACAGAACTAGAACAGAACTAGAACAGAACTAGAACAGAACTAGAACAGAACTAGAAGAGAACTAGAAGAGAACTAGAACAGAACTAGAACTAGAACGGAACTAGAACATAATTAGAACAGAACTAGAACAGAACTAGAACAGAACTAGAACAGAACTAGAACAGAACTAGAACAGAACTAGAACAGAACTAGAACAGAACTAGAACAGAACTAGAACAGAACTAGAACAGAACTAGAACAGAACTAGAACAGAACAGAACTAGAACAGAACTTGAACAGAACTAGAACAGAACTAGAACAGAACTAGAACAGAACTAGAAAGAACTAGAACAGAACTAGAACAGAACTAGAACAGAACTAGAACAGAACTAGAACAGAACTAGAACAGAACTAGAACAGAACTAGAACAGAACTAGAACAGAACTAGAACAGAACTAGAACAGAACTAGAACAGAACTAGAACAGAACTAGAACAGAACTAGAACAGAACTAGAACAGAACTAGAACAGAACTAGAACAGAACTAGAACAGAACTAGAACAGAACTAGAACAGAACTAGAACAGAACTAGAACAGAACTAGAAACAGAACTAGAACAGAACTAGAACAGAACTAGAACAGAACTAGAACAGAACTAGAACAGAACTAGAACAGAACTAGAACTGAACTAGAACAGAACTAGAACAGAACTAGAACAGAACTAGAACAGAACTAGAACAGAACAAGAACAGAACTAGAACAGAACTAGAACAGAACTAGAACAGAACTAGAACAGAACTAGAACAGAACTAGAACAGAACTAGAACAGAACTAGAACAGAACTAGAACAGAACTAGAACAGAACTAGAACAGAACTAGAACAGAACTAGAACAGAACTAGAACAGAACTAGAACAGAACTAGAACAGAACTAGAACAGAACTAGAACAGAACTAGAACAGAACTAGAACAGAACTAGAACAGAACTAGAACAGAACTAGAACAGAACTAGAACAGAACTAAACAGAACTAGAACAGAACTAGAACAGAACTAGAACAGAACTAGAACAGAACTGGAACAGATCTAGAACAGATCTAGAACAGATCTAGAACAGATCTAGAACAGAACTAGAACAGAACTAGAACAGAACTAGAACAGAACTAGAACAGAACTAGAACAGAACTAGAACAGAACTAGAACAGAACTAGAACAGAACTAGAACAGAACTAGAACAGAACTAGAACTAGAACTAGAACAGAACTAGAACTACAAGTTTTACTTACCGGCAAACAATGTTAAATTTGGCCGATTTTAATAGTTCAGTTACCACAGCCGCATGGCCCTTGTGGGCCGCCTTAAACAAAGTGTAGCACCATCACATCTCACAGCATCCACATTAGCACCTTTGTAATAAAACCTTGCATATATGATCATGACCCATTTGCGCTGCAATCCACAAGGGAAGTAGCGCCATCAATGCGCTTGTATCGGGATAAGCGCCAGCGGTTAGAAGTAAAGATAATACTGTACGGTGACCATTTTGGGCGGATATAAAAACAGGGGTAGCACGATCCTATACAGAGAAAAAATTAAATATGTTTTAACATTAATTTCCTAATCTCTTCTCTCAATACTCACCTTCATACAGGCATTAACATTAGCACCACAATCTAATAATTCCTTAACTAATTTAACATGACCACCCTGGGCCGCCACAAATAGAGGAGTACCGCCATCCTTTCGAAAGAATATTAATGTAAAAGAAATTGTTTAGTTATTTAAAATTCACACCAACTCACCACTGATGGTGTATCCACACTAGCTCCCGCTTTAATCAATATTTTCACCACATCCAAATAGCCCCCTTGAGCAGCAAAAAATAATGGTGTTGTACCAGTGGCTCTTCTGCTATTTGGATCTGCTCCCTGTTCCAATAGTTCCAACACACATGTGGTATGGCCACTAGCTGCTGACAATATCAGGGGTGTGGTGCCATCCTATAAGTTATAAATAAACGCAGTATTTTATATTCAATACGATTTCAAACCGACCACAATTGTAATCACATTTATTACAATGTATTATAGTTGTAGTTACTGTAATTTCAAATTGAATTTCTTAATAATTGTGTAATTGATATTATAAATTTCAAAACCCCAAATATGAAATTCAATGCAGCACATCATAACGAAATTCAAAAAAAATATAAAAATCAAAAGTTGAGAGAAAAAAATAACATAAACCTCAGCCAAGATTGAACATGGCATGTACAAATTTATTTATTTGCCAAAACTGAAAACCACAGACACGAAAGTGTGATGGAATTGATTTGTGATGTGGAGGCATTACATCAAACCTAATGGGAATTGTTGGTTGGGCTAGGCTTTAGAGACCTTAGGTTGGTTTGGAACTAATTCAGTTCTAGTTCAATTCTAGTTCAGTTCTAGTTCAGTTCTAGTTCAGTTCTAGTTCAGTTCTAGTTCAGTTCTAGTTCAGTTCTAGTTCAGTTCTAGTTCAGTTCTAGTTCAGTTCTAGTTCAGTTCTAGTTCAGTTCTAGTTCAGTTCTAGTTCAGTTCAGTTCTAGTTCAGTTCTAGTTCAGTTCTAGTTCAGTTCTAGTTCAGTTCTAGTTCAGTTCTAGTTCAGTTCTAGTTCAGTTCTAGTTCAGTTCTAGTTCATTCTAGTTCAGTTCTAGTTCAGTTCTAGTTCAGTTCAGTTCTAGTTCAGTTCTAGTTCAGTTCTAGTTCAGTTCTAGTTCAGTTCTAGTTCAGTTCTAGTTCAGTTCTAGTTCAGTTCTAGTTTGTTCTAGTTCAGTTCTAGTTCAGTTCTAGTTCAGTTCTAGTTCAGTTCTAGTTCAGTTCTAGTTCTGTCTAGTTCTCTAGTTCAGTTCTAGTTCAGTTCTAGTTCATTCTTGTTCAGTTCTAGTTCAGTTCTAGTTCAGTTCTAGTTCAGTTCTAGTTCAGTTCTAGTTCAGTTCTAGTTCAGTTCTAGTTCAGTTCTAGTTCAGTTCTAGTTCAGTTCTAGTTCAGTTCTAGTTCAGTTCTAGTTCAGTTCTAGTTCAGTTCTAGTTCAGTTCTAGTTCAGTTCTAGTTCAGTTCTAGTTCAGTTCTAGTTCAGTTCTAGTTCAGTTCTAGTTCAGTTAGTTCAGTTCTAGTTCAGTTCTAGTTCAGTTCTAGTTCAGTTCTAGTTCAGTTCTAGTTCAGTTCTAGTCAGTTCAGTTCAGTTCTAGTTCAGTTCTAGTTCAGTTCTAGTTCAGTTCTAGTTCAGTTCTAGTTCAGTTCTAGTTCAGTTCTAGTTCAGTTCTAGTTCAGTTCTAGTTCAGTTCTAGTTCAGTTCTAGTTCAGTTCTAGTTCAGTTCTAGTTCAGTTCTAGTTCAGTTCTAGTTCAGTTCTAGTTCAGTTCTAGTTCAGTTCTAGTTCAGTTCTAGTTCAGTTCTAGTTCAGTTCTAGTTCAGTTCAGTTATAGTTCAGTTCTAGTTCAGTCTAGTTCAGTTCTAGTTCAGTTCTAGTTCAGTTCTGTTCAGTTCTAGTTCAGTTCTAGTTCAGTTCTAGTTCAGTTCTAGTTCAGTTCTAGTTCAGTTCTAGTTCAGTTCTAGTTCAGTTCTAGTTCAGTTCTAGTTCAGTTCTAGTTCAGTTCTAGTTCAGTATAGTTCAGTTCTAGTTCAGTTTCTAGTTCAGTTCTAGTTCAGTTCTAGTTCAGTTCTAGTTCAGTTCTAGTTCAGTTCTAGTTCAGTTCTAGTCAGTTCAGTTCAGTTCTAGTTCAGTTCTAGTTCAGTTCTAGTTCAGTTCGAGTTCAGTTGTAGTTCAGTTCTAGTTCAGTTGTAGTTCAGTTCTAGTTCAGTTTCTAGTTCAGTTCTAGTTCAGTTCTAGTTCAGTTCGAGTTTCAGTTCGAAGTTCAGTTCTAGTTCAGTTCTAGTTCAGTTCCAGTTAGTTCTAGTTCAGTTCTAGTTCAGTTCTAGTTCAGTTCTAGTTCAGTTCTTGTTCAGTTCTTGTTCAATTCTAGTTCAGTTCTTGTACATTCTAGTTCAGTCCAATTCTAGTTTTTTTCTAGTATTATATTTTTTTACAATCCTAGCATTTCCAACTGAAGCTCTATAATATGATTTCACTTTTCATTGTTCATTAAAATCTTAACTAATTAATAAAAACCTTGTTAAACAGAAATTATTTGCACACATTTTTCTTGTTAAAACTTAAATTAAAATTATTAACAACGATTTATTGTTTTCAACGGTCTAATAGTTTCTATTAACAATTTTCTCACTTTCAATAAATATATGTTGCGTTTTCTCGTTTGTTTTTTGTTTTTGTTTCAATATTTTTCAATTGCAAATTTCTTTTGCTCAAAAATATGAACAAATTAAAACAATGTTAATTTAATTCAATTAATTTTTCAAAACGGTCACGCATGCTCTCGTTTTTAAGCGTTTGTGCGATTAAAGCTTAATGCTAATTTAAAGCGTGCTCATGTTTTATAAGTATTTAAACGTTTTAATTCATTCATTTTCAATTGACCATTTCATTCAACACCGTTTTTGTATTGTAATCTGATGTTGTTTTTGTTTTTGTTTCGTCGTGTTATTGTTCTTTTATTTAAATTGTTAATGTTAAAGTGAAATTATTTTCTTTATGTGGCTGAGCTACCGCTGATGTTGCTGATGTTTCTTTTGACGTCTGACAGCTGTTTTTGGGTTTCCTTAGTTTAGGCAACCGCGCAATGTTTGTAAATAATTTGCACTATTTAAGCATTGAGGCGCAATTTTGAAAACAAATAGTTGTTTTGTTTGCAGTTGTTGCAAAAAAAAAAGAAATTTTATAACAAAAAAAAAAATTAATAAAAAAAGACTTACACTATTTATTTTGCAATAGTTTTGAACAGTTATATTAATAAGCAAGTCAGGGAATTGTAAACGTGGCTTTAACTGACTTTTAAAAAAAAAACATACACCGTGTTAGTAGACAGTATTATGTGAGAATAATGCTACACTCGAAGAAAATATGGTTATACTAAATATTCAATCTACCCTAGAACAAAACAAAACAGAACAGAACTAGAACTGTACTAGAACTGAACTAGAAATAGACTGAAGAACTGAACTAGAACTGAACTAGAACTGAACTAGAACTGAACTAGAACTGAACTAGAACTGAACTAGAACAGAACTAGAACAGAACTAGAACAGAACTAGAACAGAACTAGAACAGAACTAGAACTAGAACAGAACTAGAACAGAACTAGAACAGAACTAGAACAGAACTAGAACAGAACTAGAACAGAACTAGAACAAACTAGAACAGAACTAGAACAGAACTAGAACAGAACTAGAACAGAACTAGAACAGAACTAGAACAGAACTAAAACTGAACTAAAACTGAACTAGAACTGAACTAGAACTGAACTAGAACTGAACTAGAACTGAACTAGAACTGAACTAGAACTGAACTAAAACTGAACTAAAACTGAACTAGAACTGAACTAGAACTGAACTAGAACTGAACTAGAACTGAACTAGATCTGAACTAGAACTGAACTAGAACTGAACTAGAACTGAACTAGAACTGAACTAGAACTGAACTAGAACTGAACTAGAACTAGAAACTGACTAGAACTGAACTAGAACTGAACTAGAACTGAACTAAAACTGAACTAGAACTGAACTAGAACTGAACTAGAACTGAACTAGAATGAACTCGAACTGAAACTAGACTGAACTGACTGAACTAGAACTGAACTAGAACTGAACTAGAACTGAACTAGAACTGAACTAGAACTGAACTAGAACTGAACTAGAACTGAACTAGAACTGAACTAGAACTGAACTAGAACTGAACTAGAACTGAACTAGAACGAACTAGAACTGAACTAGAACTGAACTAGAACTGAACTAGAACTGAACTAGAACTGAACTAGAACTGAACTAGAACTGAACTAGAACTGAACTAGAAACTGAACTAGAAACTGAATAGAACTGAACTAGAACTGAACTAGAACTGAACTAGAACTGAACTAGAACTGAACTAGAACTGAACTAGAACTGAACTAGAACTGAACTAGAACTGAACTAGAACTGAACTAGAACTGAACTAGAACTGAACTAGAACTGAACTAGAACTGAACTAGAACTGAACTAGAACTGAACTAGAACTAGAACTGACTAAATGAACTAGAACTGAACAGAACTGAACTAGAACTGAACTAGAACTGACTAGAACTTACGACTGAATTAGAACTGAACTAAAAATGAACTAAAACTGAACTAAACTGAACCTAACTGAACTAAAAGTGAACTAAAACTGAACTAGAACTGAACTAGAACTGAACTAGAACTGAACTAGAACTGAAAGTCTAGAACTGAACTAGAACTGAACTAGAACTGAACTAGAACTTACTAGAACTGACTAGAACTGAACTAAAACTGAACTAAAACTGAACTAGAACTGAACGAGAACTGAACTAGAACTGAACTAGAACTGAACTAGAACTAGAACTGAACTAGAACTGAACTAGAACTGAACTAGAACTGAACTAGAACTGAACTAGAACTGAACTAGAACTGAACTAGAACTGAACTAGAACTGAACTAGAACTGAACTAGAACTGAACTAGAACTGAACTGAACTGAACTGAACTGAACTAGAACGAACTAGAACTGAACTAGAACTGAACTAGAACTGAACTAAAAACTGAACTAAAACTGAACTAGAACTGAACTAGAACTAGAACTGAACTAGAACTGAACTAGAACTGAACTAGAACTGAACTAGAACTGAACTAGAACTGAACTAGAACTGAACTAGAACTGAACTAGAACTGAACTAGAACTGAACTAGAACTGAACTAGAACTGAACTAGAACTGAACTAGAACTGAACTAGAACTGAACTAGAACTGAACTAGAACTGAACTAGAACTGAACTAGAACTGAACTAGAACTGAACTAGAACTGAACTAGAACTGAACTAGAACTGAACTAGAACTGAACTAGAACTGAACTAGAACTGAACTAGAACTGAACTAGAACTAAACTAGACCGAATTAGAACTGAGCTAGTACTGAATTAGATTTTAAATTGAAGTGAATTAAACTAAAACATAATTATATTCTTAATTCAAAACTGTTTCAGTTACGTATTTATTGAAATAATGTAATAATTTTTCTAAATTATATTTTTTCTTTATTTGCAGTTTACTTTAAATGGCTCAAGGTAAGTTCATTGATCTAAATGTTGCTCATCGTATTAAAAAATTAATTATTCCAATGTGGCACACTTTCCCTTTTATATTGGCAATATATTTGTGGAACATTTTCATTACATAATCTCCTATCACCTTTAATACAGTCATTAATTAGTAAATTGCACTTACCTCATCTTTACAATCGACATGAACCTTTCCACTATCCAAAACGCGTCTCAAAGTAATATCGTCTCCCCTTAAAGCCGCCAAATGTAATAAAACATCTGAAGGAGTCTCTTTCTAAATGGAAAGAAGAGAAAAAGCCAACAAATGAAAAACAATATATTTATTTTTTTTTTTTTTTTAAATTAAACACTTTCATTTGTTTAACTAACAACTTTATAACAAGAAACGAATTGAATTGTAATGTAACAAAACAAAAACCAATTGAATATTTTGTGTAATTTTTTTTTCGTAAAGGTAGCATAAAACAACCTGTTGCATGCCACCACAACCAGCACAAATTGCAACATAAATATTGAAAATATTAAATGTCAAAAAAAAAAAAATAAAAAAAAGATCTAATACAAAAATTAACTGAAATCTTAAAAAAACATTCAAACACATTCAAAATGTTAAATTAGCGCGGAAATATTAATCGTCATTCATACTTGTTGTATTACACGTATGTATGAGAACACTGTTGTTGTTGTTGTTGTCAAACAGATTCGTTAAGCTTGGGAATCTACACAAGTGCACCTGATGCCACCAGCACCATTACCACCACCAACATCCCACTATAACTAACATCAGAAGCTTAAAAATTAAAATATGTACGACAGACAACAAACCCACACTGTTGTTTACTATATAGTTTAGCTCGTTTCGCTTGATTCACTATTTCCCATAGTTTATCCGAATAGCAAACACAAGACAGACCTAAAATTTGCTCTAAGTAATTTAAAATAGAAATATGAAGCTTCCTTTTATTTTTTTTATAAAAAAAAAAATATTACATCGACAACAAATTGGTTTTGTAAAGTCTTATAACATGGACTATAGATGAATTAATAAGACCCTACTTTTCATAAGAAATTAAAATTATGTTAAAATTCAATTATAACTGTATTTAAACATAAGGAGAACAGAACTACAATAGAACTATAGCAGAACTAGAACAGAACTAGAACAGAACTAGAACAGAACTGGAACAGAACTAGAAACAGAACTAGAACAGAAACTAGAACAGAACTAGAACAGAACTAGAACAGAACTAGAACAGAACTAGAACAGAACTAGAACAAAACTAGAACAGAACTAGAACAGAACTAGAACAGAACTAGAACAACTAGAACAGAACTAGAACAGAACTAGAACAGAACTAGAACAGAACTAGAACAACTAGAACAGAACTAGAACTAGAACAGAACTAGAACTAGAACAAGACTAGAACAGAACTAGAACAGAACTAGAACCGAACTAGAACAGAACTAGAACGACAGAACTAGAACAGAACTAGAACAGAACTAGAACAGAACTAGAACAGAACTAGAACAGAACTAGAACAGAACTAGAACAGAACTAGAACAGAACTAGAACAGAACTAGAACAGAACTAGAACAGAACTAGAACAGAACGAGAACAGAACTAGAACAGAACTAGAACAGAACTAGAACAGAACTAGAACAGAACTAGAACAGAACAGAACAGAACTAGAACAGAACTAGAACTAGAACAGAACTAGAACAGAACTAGAACTAGAACAGAACTAGAACAGAACTGGAACAGAACTAGAACAGAACTAGAACAGAACTAGGAACAGAACTAGAACAGAACTAGAACAGAACTAGAAAAGAACTAGAACAGAACTAGAACAGAACTAGAACAGAACTAGAACAGAACTAGAACAGAACTAGAACAGAACTAGAACAGAACTAGAACAGAACTAGAACAGAACTAGAACTAGAACAGAACTAGAACTAGAACAGAACTAGAACTAGAAACTAGAACAGAACTAGAACAGAACTAGAACAGAACTAGAACAGAACAGAACTAGAACAGAACTAGAACAGAACTAGAACAGAACTAGAACAGACTAGAACAGAACTAGAACAGAACTAGAACAGAACTAGAACAGAACTAGAACAGAACTAGAACAGAACTAGAACAGAACTAGAACAGAACTAGAACAGAACTAGAACAGAACTAGAACAGAACTAGAACAGAACTAGAACAGAACTAGAACAGAACTAGAACAGAAACTAGACAGAACTAGAACTAGAACAGAACTAGAACAGAACTAGAACAAAACTAGAACAGAACTAGAACAGAACTTGAACAGAACTAGAACAGAACTAGAACAGAACTTGAACAGAACTAGAACAGAACTAGAACAGAACTAGAACAGAACTAGAACAAACTAGAACAAAACTAGAACAAAACTAGAACAGAACTAAAACGGAACTATAGCAGAACTACAACACAACTAGAACAGAATCAGAACTAAACTGGAATTGAATAAGTTATTGAGCTAAACATATTCTCTTTTTGTTTATAGCGTTAACTAGGTGTCTCTTGGCATTTTAAATTATAAACAATTTTCTGATTTTTTTTTCACAGCAGACCTGCATTATTAACTATTTTATTAAATGTATAAAAGAGATACGTGACTGTAATAAACCCAGCAAATTTTTTGCAATAGAGTATTTTTTTTTACACATTTTAAAGTAATTCGCTTCAAGTGAATTACTCACGCATTTATATTGTAATAAAATTAACATGTTAAAACTTTAATACTTTTACTTTTTTATAGCAAATGGTTCAAGGTTAAAAAAAACTAGATGTTTTGAATGTAAATGTTTAAGTATTCTGTATAATTGGCACTAGTGACTACTTTAAATAGATAGAAAATTGAAATTTTGAAAGAAATGTCAACAGAAAGGTCGTCTTTTCTAAAAATTTACTTTTGTGGAAAGTAAATTTTAATATAAAAATGTTCGCTGGGTTATCATTTAGTTTTACTTTCGTTGTCTTTGACTTTAATTCAAATTACTTGTACTGCAATTTAACATTTTATTTGGCGCCTTTTTTATAAATCTTTTTATGATTCTTTTAACTTTACTATTAAAATATTTTAAAAATTATTTAATATTTTCTTAAAAGACTCCACCATTTTCTGTGTCTATTTCGTTAACATACATTTAAATATCAAATTGCAATTAACCATAAAAACAAGTTAAAATGGCATTTAAAAATTATATTTATTTAAACTTTTTCATAGAAACAAAATATTAAAAGAAATTATGATAAAAATTATGATTTGTTTACTTTTTTCCCATAAGAAAAGAAAATAATTATACAAAATCATTAACATGACTGGATAAGTAAGATGGCGTTACAAAATTTGCTACTATTAATTTAACACAATGAGAGCGTTAAGCGTTATTTTTTTACATTGTAAGATAAGAAGTTCCGATATAACAGTTTTTATGTTGAAAACATATACATATTTTTATAAATAGGTGCCATAACAAATAACACAGGTTTTTATATAAACTTTGTTTATAAAACCAACTAACTTTATTGTTTATAGCAATTAAATTAAACCCCATTGATAATCTTAAATAACGCCTGCTAATTATTGTGTTAACGGCGAAACATTAAGAAAAAAATTTCGTTTAATAGTTTTCATGTTTTTAAATTTTGAACATTTTATAACTTTGGAAGAAAAACTAATGTTATAAAGTAAAATACAGTAAAACCTGGCTACAACGGATGGAAAAGATTCGTGCGAAACTATAGACTAGACTATAGTTGATAATAAAGACTAGACTTCAATATAGGCAATAGACTTGAATATAGATTAGAATACAATATTTGCAAGACTATAGACTAGACTATAGACTAGACTATAGACCAGACTATAGACTAGACTATAGACTAGACTATAGACTAGACTACAGATTAGACTATAGACTAGACTACAGATTAGACTATAGACTAGACTATAGACTAGACTAGACTATAGACTAGACTATAGACTAGACCATAGACTAGATATAGACTAGACTATAGACTAGACTATAGACTAGACTATAGACTAGACTATAGACTAGACTATAGACTAGACTATAGACTAGACTATAGACTAGACTATAGACTAGACTATAGACTAGACTATAGACTAGACTATAGACTAGACTATAGACTAGACTATAGACTAGACTATAGACTAGACTATAGACTAGACCATAGACTAGACTATAGACTAGACCATAGACTAGACTATAGACTAGACTATAGACTAGACTATAGACTAGACTATAGACTAGACTATAGACTAGACTATAGACTAGACTATAGACTAGACTATAGACTAGACTATAGACTAGACTATAGACTAGACTATAGACTAGACTATAGACTAGACTATAGACTAGACTATAGACTAGATAGACTATAGACTAGACTATAGACTAGACTATAGACTAGACTATAGACTAGACTATAGACTAGACTATAGACTAGACTATAGACTAGACTATAGACTAGACTATAGACTAGACTATAGACTAGACTATAGACTAGACTATAGACTAGACTATAGACTAGAATATATACTAGACTATAGACTAGACTATAGACTAGAATATATACTAGACTATAGACTAGACTATAGACTAGACTATAGACTATAGACTAGACTATAGACTAGACTGTAGACTAGACTATAGACTACACTATAGACTAGACTATAGACTAGACTATAGACTAGACTATAGACTAGACCATAGACTAGACTATAGACTAGACTATAGACTAGACTATAGACTAGACTATAGACTAGACTATAGACTAGACTATAGACTAGACTATAGACTAGACTATAGACTAGACTATAGACTAGACTATATACTAGACTATAGACTAGACTATAGACTAGACTATAGACTAGACTATAGACTAGACTATAGACTAGACTATAGACTATAGACTAGACTATAGACTAGACTATAGACTAGACTATAGACTAGACTATAGACTAGACTATAGACTAGACTATAGACTAGACTATAGACTAGACTATAGACTAGACTATAGACTAGACTATAGACTAGACTATAGACTAGACTATAGACTAGACTATGACTAGACTATAGACTAGACTATAGACTAGACTATAGACTAGACTATAGACTAGACTATAGACTAGACTATAGACTAGACTATAGACTAGACTATAGACTAGACTATAGACTAGACTATAGACTAGACTATAGACTAGACTATAGACTAGACTA